CAGGAATTATTAGGAATTAGTAAGGAATTATTAAAGGAATGGGTGTGTTTGCAGGTGTGTGAAATCCACCAGTGAACATCTGGCCAGACCAGGGAGCAGGGAGGGTGAAGGGTCTGGGGTTTGGGGTTTGGGATCCGGATTGGAGGGACCAGGAGTCTGGGAGATGGGTATAGGAGAGACCAAGGGCTGGGACCAGCTTCCAGAGAGATCCCCTGTAGTGGGGTCCCTGAGCTGCTGCCCATAGACACAGGTCTGAGTAGTGAGGGTCCACCCCAGTGGGGGTCCACCCCAGTCCCCCGTGTTGGGGCACCCTGAACACAGCCACCAAATGGGATCTGAAAAATCCCAGCCTGGAAAATCCCTGAGCCAGCAGTCAGGCTGGAGCTGGGCAGGGTTTTGACAGTGAGCTCAGATGAAAAAGAAAAAAAAAATAAACCAACCTCATTCAAGGCAGTAAGACCATGACTCAGGATCGGGACGAGGTGGATGGGGGGGTTGGGAAAATGGGGGCTGCTTTTGCACACCAGCTCCTTTGGAAATGTCAAGATATTCAGGGAAATGCCAGTGCAGCAGAGATGTAAAAGCAAGGTTTGCCGAGGGAGACAAAAGGGCAGCGAGCAGGCAGTCTGAGCAGGGGGGTGGGTGTCCTGGGGGGGTGGCACTGCCGCTCCCCCCAGAGCATCCTCCCGCAGCAGTGCTGTGTGGCGGGAGCAGAGCGTGGCAGGGGACATCCCTCCTGCCTCCGACTGCAGACGAGCTGCTCCTGCATCCGCCCGGGAGAGATGCAGTGCCCAGGATGGGGCGGATGGGGACAAACTGGAGTCTCCAGGAGGTTTTCTGGGAGGTGGAGGGAGAAGGTGGGTGAATCTGTCTGTGCTGGAGGGTGTGCCTGGGTCTGAGCAGCTTTCTGGAACGGTGGGATGGTCGCTGGAGACCTCACAGGACAACAGATTCTCAGGGTTGAGTATTTTCAGCAATTTCTCCCGGATCAGATTGCTTTCCATCCCAGGTGGAAGCTGCACACACAGGCTGCCCAGGAAAAAGTGAACGGGCTGAGGAGCATTGTCCCCAAACCGACGGGTTGACCAGGAGACAGCGACGGGTCTGCAAAAGGCTGCTGTGACCCAGAGAAGCTGTGGATGCCCCATCCCTGGAGGGGTTCAAGGCCAGGCTAGATGAGGCTTTGGGCAACCTGGGCTAGTGGGAGGTGTCCCTGCCCATGGCAGGGGGTGGCACTGGGTGGGCTTTGAGGTCCCTTCCCACCCAAACCATCCTGTGATCCTATGACCCAGGTGGCTGGACAATCCATGTTTTCAGCCCTGTCCCAAAACACCTTTCTCTCCCCTCTGATGTTTGACTTTTCTCCAGGGCTGATGGCTTTGCCCAGACGAGCTCTATAGGCGTGTGCAGGAATATTAAATTTCCCGTGGTAATGGGATTAATTAAATTTCCCGTGGTGGCCATGGTCATTCTTTCAAGAAGGAAGCAGGGCCACCGAACAGAATGACGACTTTTCACAGATCTTCACTCTGCAGGGTTTATTTGCTTTTTTTGTTTGCTTGTTTGTCTCTCATAGTTGAAAGCACTGGACGTCGCCAAAGTGGACTTACTAATGCTGAGACAGCGATATCTCTCGAGGAAAAGGTCTGGGAGAATATTTTTCAGGAAGCTGAGCAGTTCATTAAAGATGCAATACAAAGAGCATTTATTTTTTTTTCAAGCACCACCAACAGAATGAAGAAGCAAGAAGGGCACTAAAAGCCATCATGCAGAAATCATCACCTTTGCAGTGATCCTTAGCATTAAAAAAAAAATAAAATTTCATTTTAGTTTGGTCAAACTCGTAATGATTTAGAGACAGAAACAGCAAGAGCATGTAAAGCAAAAACAGAAGGGAAGGGGAAGGCAAAAAGCAATTTACACAAAACCAGAGACATAGATTCATGCAAGAATTGCTCCGTTATTCAACAGTGAGCGTGTAAATGATGGATGATATGAACACACATGACATTTATTATTTTTTTAATGATAAATTAAAACTGAAACAGTCTAACACCAGCAGTGAAGTAAGAAATCAGGGGAAACGGGGAAAAAAAAATCAAAAAATTAAGAAACCAGAGGAGTTTAAATGACAAGGGCGGTGTACGGGCAGGGTGACATCCCCGCAGAGCGCTCAGAGGGCAGGAGCAGCCCCAAGGTTGGTGGCAGCCAGATTTGAGAGGGAACGGGAGATAAACAAGAAGGAAAGGCAGCCTGGAAGGAGGTAACCCTGGGGCCTGGCTTCAGAAAGGTGGAAAAAAGGGTAAAGAAGCAACAGGGCATTAGAAACCAGACGGATTAATATTAGTTTAATGAAAAATACTGAATCAGACAAACCAAATATTTATGGAGCACGCACGGAGGCAATCAGTAGCAGCGACCGTGAATTTATTAAGAACAAATTGTGACAAAGCCATCGAATTTTTTCCTTTGTACGGGGCAGCATGCCTTGCTGGCAGGGAGGAAACAGAAAATGAAATCTGCCTTTGCTGTGATTACGCTTTCGACACACTTCACGTAACGTGTCCAGACAGAAGAAAAGGGGAGAATGATCTCAATGGAGCTGCCACAAAGCCAAGGCAAAACTCATTCAAAAAAAAAAAAAAAAAAGAGTTTTTCAAAGCCAAGTTATCAATTATTCATTGTCAGAGATGAAGCAAGCAGGGGTTGGAAGGGAGCTATCTTATTTCTGCGGTTGTTCACTATTTCCATTAACGAGCTTTTAAGGAAGTAGCAGTTTCCTTGGGTCTGGAGGCAGTCGTCGTCGTGCCAGTTTGGGTGCTGATCTTGCTTGAAAGACCTGGCGGCTAATGGGTGTATTCCATGCGAATGGACCGGACCGATGGTTCCTTTATTATTCTGCCTGGCTGTTAAAAATTTCTGGTGTAACTCCAGCATCCTTCTGGCGACTGGAGAGGGAGGCTGCTTGTTAATTTGTCGGTGAGAACAAAGCGGAAGGGCTGTGAGTCCAACGGGGAGAGACTCAGAACTGTCCTGACACACTGCGGGGGAAACTAGAAATGTAACTCACCCCGTTGGGCCGGTGGGAACGGGGGGATTTATGCCAGCAAACACTAATAGAGAACTGGTCAGTCTGGCAGCAATATTAATGCATAGATCTAAATATATTTATTTATTTATTCGAAGTATAAATAGAGTAGGCAGCTTCTCTATAGCAAAGCTTGGGGAAGTACCAGAGATGGCAAGGCAAACATTAATCAACAATATCATGGTTTGCTAAAACGAAAAAAAGAAAAAAGAAAAAAGAAAAAAGAAAAAAGAAAAAAGAAAAGAAAAAAGGAAAAAGAAAAAAAGAAAAGGAAAAAGAAAAAATAAAAAAGAAGAAAGAAGAAAGAAGAAAGAAGAAAGAAGAAAGAAGAAAGAAGAAAGAAGAAAGAAGAAAGAAGAAAGAAGAAAGAAGAAAGAAGAAAGAAGAAAGAAGAAAGAAGAAAGAAGAAAGAAGAAAGAAGAAAGAAGAAAGAAGAAAGAAGAAAGAAGAAAGAAGAAAGAAGAAAGAAGAAAGAAGAAAGAAGAAAGAAGAAAGAAGAAAGAAGAAAGAAGAAAGAAGAAAGAAGAAAGAAGAAAGAAGAAAGAAGAAAGAAGAAAGAAGAAAGAAGAAAAGATGACCAAAAGCCCAGCCCGCTCCGGGCCAGCGATTCCGGAGGAGGGGGAATGCAGGGAATGGCTTATCAGACTTAGGTAAGATATCCAGTGCTACCCAGCTTATCGACGGCGGCGTGCTGGAGCTGGTTGGATATAGACCATGGAATACACAGAGGGACGTCTGTGTAAACAAGGTGATAAGAAGGAACTGAGTCTGCAAGAACAAAGGCATGCTTCACTAGCAGGCCGCGACGAAGGGATGAGAAAACTGTGGTCAAACAGTAAACC